TGTCAAAAAAGACATAATATAAAGTATAGAATTTTTTCGATCATCTGCCGCATTATATATCAAATATCTGTATATCCTATATTATATTATATTTAATTACAATTTTTTAGTTAAATATTTACAATTAAAAAATTCATTAATAATATTATCGAGTCAACTTTTGTTCATAAATTTTTTAAAATATATTATTTTCATTGATTTGCTTATGTTGAATTGAGAAAATTTATGTTTTTTAATTATATATAGGGAGGATATAAGATTTCTTATATTTTTTATGTAGTATTTATTGAGTAATTGTGTTTAATATTTTTCTATTAAAAATATATTAAACACGTGAACTTTTTAGTTAGTAATACACTAATAACATATTTATTTATATTTTTAATTAAAAAATTAACTACCTAAAAAATCCTTACTTTTACATGTTTTTAATGGCAAATTAGTAATATACTAATGTCATCATATCTTATATCCTCCCTATATATAATTAGAAAAAACATAAATTTTCTCAATTCAACATAAGCAAATCAATGAAAATAATATAATAAATTTTATTAATGAATTTATGAATTGTAAATATTTAAATAAATATTAATTAAAAATTGTAATTAAATATAATATAATATAGGATATAAAAATATTTGATATATAATGAGGCAGATGATTGAAAAAATTCTATAATTTATATTATGTCTTTTTTGACAAATCTACAGTTAAGAACATGTGAGAGAACAAGATAAAAGTTTAAAAAAATGTTAAATGATAAAATTAATAAGAACAAAAAACTAACAAGCGTTTAACAACTCAGTTCGATTACATCGATAAGTATATTTTTAGAAGGTTTATATATAGTTATATTAATTATATTATTTTTGTTTATTTATATTTATTAGTACGTGTCACAACTTAGTTATTATTCATATTATTCTTATATTTAATATTTTTTTAAAACTTTATCTTGTTCTTTCACATGTTCTGTAGATTTGTCAAAAAAGACATAATATAAAGTACAGAATTTTTTCGATCATCTGCCTCATTATATATCAAATATTTGTATATCTTATATTATATTCTATTTAATTACAATTTTTTAATTAAATATTTACAATTCATAAATTCATTAATAATATTGTCGAGTCAACTTTTGTTCATAAATTTTTAAAAATATATTATTTTCATTGATTTGCTTATGTTGAATTGAGAAAAGTTATGTTTTTTTAATTATATATAGGGAGGATATAAGATTTCTTATATTTTTTATGTTGTATTTATTGAGTAATTGTGTTAAAAAAAATTCTATTAAAAATATATTAAACACGTGAACTTTTTAGTTCCTATAATTTTTTTTGTTTTCAGAAATCACTCATTATTTTATCCCAAGATTACCTATTAATTTACCAATTGAGTTACATTTCTTACACATTAAATATTATATAATTAAAATATTTCTTGTTTTATTTGTTCAATATGATGCTTATATATTATATTAAAAAACTAATATATTAAATAAAAAAGTTATTTAAAATTAGAATAATAAAGATTTTTTTTTCTAATCTATAAGTATAAATGTAAAAATAACTTTTGTCCATCACCTCAAATTTACACATAAAATTAATGAGAACAAAAAACTAACAAGCGTTTAACAACTCAGTTCGATTACATCGATAAGTATATTTTAGAAGGTTTATATTTAGTTATATTAATTATATTATTTCAAAGCTAATTGGACGCCAATTCCGCACTAAAAAATTATCATAAGTAATTACTTCTTATCATAAATTGAAAAAAATTACTGACATGAGGGATGTAATAAAGCCAATTGAACGCCAATTGAAAAAATTACTTCTTATCAAAGCCAATTGAACGCCAATTGAACGTCAATTGAAAAAAAAATACTTCTTATCATAAATTGAACGCCAATTCCGCACTAAGCCAGTCAAGAGGGATGTTAATTACCTATACCTACAATAGAAGATTTTGGAAACTGACATGATTGCTATTCAGTCCTTTCTCCCACTCTCTAAGAATCAGATACTGGTTATCGTATATCCAGTTGGTTCCTCCTACCACTCTCTTCATATCCTCTTTGTTGTTGAAAATGAACTGAAAATAGTTTGGTTCCAGTTCTTTTATTTCCAGCGGCTTCTGCAGACGCCAAATATTCGTCATTGTACGCTTAATCCCTATCTAGCTCGCCCGTCGATCCCCAATCACCTTCCCAAATAGACTCCGGCTACATTCCTCGGCACTGAGGCGAATATCCTCTTGCTCAATTTCTGTAAAAATGCACAAATATATTAAGTATATTTTTAAAAGGTTTATATTTAGTTATATTAATTATATTATTTTTGTTTATTAGTTTGTTTTATATTTATTAGTACGTGTCACAACTTAGTTATTATTCATATTATTTCTTATATTTAATATTTTTAAAAAATTTTATTTTGTTCTTTCACATGTTCTTAACTGTAGATTTGTCAAAAAAGACATAATATAAAGTATTGAATTTTTTCGATCATCTGCCTCATTATATATCAAATATTTGTATATTCTATATTATTATATATAATTACAATTTTTTATTTAATATTTTAATTAAATATTTACAATTCATAAATTCATTAATAATATTATCGAGGCAACTTTTGTTCATAAAATTTTTAAAAATATATTATTTTCATTGATTTGCTTATGTTGATTTGAGAAAAGTTATGTTTTTTTTTTTAAAATATATAAGGAGGATATAAGATATGATGACATTAGTATATTACCAATTTACCATTAAAAACATGTGAAAGTAAGAGTTTTTTAGGTAGTTCATTTTTTAATTAAAAATATAAATAAAATATGATGTGTATTAGTGTATTACTAATTTTCCATTAAATTTATGTCAAAGTAAGAATTTTTTAGGCATTATGAATTTTTACAAAAACACTCCTCCTTTTATATTAGTATAGTATAGATATAGATATAGATATAGATTAGAAGCTGAACAATTTTGACTCTGAAAAGGATCAACATCAAACGATACAAAAGGCCGCGTAACCAAAGTAACTAGCACCGTCCAATTAAAGACTAAAATTAATGACATCAAACCACGCCCAATAACTAGATGTCCTGCCGTATGTGGCGGAGCAGCACCGGGTTTGTGAGCTCCGGGGAGCTGAGATGCGGCAAGTGACCCTCTGTTGGAATCAACTCCATGACCGACCTCCCGCCCAGGCTCCGGTGGATGTACTCCGCCACCTCGACCGGCAGCACCGGATCCTTGGAGCTCTGGATGATGTGGCAGGGGACGGTGATTTGGCTGAGGTATGGCCTCAGGTCATAAGAGAATATCAAGCGGCCCCTGTTTAGGACAATGTCCGGCCGCTCCATAGTCATTGTTCTTTTGAACTCCTCCACAGCCACCGAGTCCGGACTGCCGCCCACCATTAGCTTGGCCATGTCCGCGTAGAAAGATGTAGGGTTCTTCTCCAAGGCGGCCAACATATGGTCCATCGTTTCCTGGTCGGTGCCTCCGTAGTAGTCCTCCGAGTTTCCCATTCTAATAAAATTACCATTACAAATTAGTTACAACCCCCAAAAAAATTTCAAAGGATACATATAAGCTACAGTACTAATTGTAATGTACCTCGGGGTAGTGGCAATCATGATCACTTTACGGAACAGTTTGGGTGTGGAAATCGAGGCTATGGCGGCCACCAAAGGGGAGAGCGAGTGCCCCACGAAAATGCATCCCTCGACTTTGAGTTCGTCCAAAATGGCGATCAAATCTTCCACGTAGCCATCAATGGATGAGTAACGCTTGAAATCGTAGAGGTTGGGGTCAGTGGTCCCAGCACCAATGTCATCATAGAGAATGACAGTGTAATCATCAACGAGGTGTGGGACAAGGTGCTTCCACACCGACTGGTCGCAGCCGGCTCCATGGCCGAGGACAACTGTTGTCATCCCCGAACCTAAGACGGTCACATTATGAGCCGATACAATTTTGTTCATGTTTGTTATTTATTTATTTTCACTCTTTTGAGAGTATTTTTGCTTTGTGTTGCTGTGGGCGAGTAAGAGAGTGTTCTTTGGGGGGTTATATAGTATTGAGAGATTAGGTTCAACTTGATCGCGTGACCTCATCTAAGTTTGAATGGGTTGACATTTGGGCGGTAGGATCCACATTCTGAGGAATATTTAATCAATAGTCAATATTTAATTGATATTTGAGATGGAATAAGCTCAAGTCCATTGCATAGCTTCAAAAATGGGACCGAAACTAATGGTCCAATTGAGAATTAACGTAGCAAACGCGTAAACTAATGGTCAATGCCTAGTTGTATTTCAAACAATTTTTTTTTTTTTAAGGAGATACGGAACTATTCCGTCGAGACTAATGGTTACAAACCTCGACGGAATGATTACGTAAACCCGACAGAAGAGTTACGTAACGGGAAATGCCTCTTTGTTGCACGCCATTGAATAATCAACAACCCGTTCTGGTACCATGAAGATTCAAATAATTTAGGCGCGAGAACTCAGTTGATTTGAGAATTTTCAGAGATTTTCATTCAAGTGCAACATCGAGTAACAGTACAGATGAAACGAAGAGGATGAGCATGCAATGCTCGTGAGCTGACGACCAATCATAAGCTTCCACATAGCAACAACTAATAAAACGAAATAAAAACGGGAATTATTACAAAGACGAACTAACAACTCTATTAGCAAAATGCACGCCTTCGCTTTAGACTAATAGCAAAAAGAAAAACGCGAATATAATAAAGGAAAACAGGCATGCGACTTGTCTTTGGAAAAGCCTTCTTCACTACGGTGCATGCAAGCTTCGACTTCGATGAAGATCAACATTACGGTGCAGGCAAGCTTCTGACTTCGATGAAGACCAACATAAACCGCAAGAGACTACGCCATGCTCAACAATATACAAATAAAATGCAAAAACGGAGAAACTATATGCGTACATGCTCGGTGCTTCCACGATATGAAACCTAAGCAATGATCTCATCTCGCTTACACTCCCTGAATTTAACCTCGGCCGTGCCACCGTCCACGCTCATGATGTCACAGCATTCGCATCTGTCCGTCTTCAACATGGAATAGAATAAACAAGGCGAAAATTAATATTACATGATGTAATTATTTAAATATACAATTTAATTGAAATTCTAATTTTAGATAGTCTTGTATTTCCTAACAAATGTATATTTATATTAGGAAATATCGTATTTTTCACTTGTAGCGCGGACGACGTGCACAATTAATTATCTAAATATATGGGCTTAGTTGTATTTTTAGTCCCGTCAAAGCAATTTAGTCTCAAGATTCTAACAATTTTGTCTTTTGGTCATATTATTTAATATTTTCCTGCAATTTCAGTCATTTGATGATTGGAATTGCCAGAAATTCCCAAATTTAAAGATTTTTATTATCAAATTAAGTCTTATAATTTAAAATTTTGTTGCAATCTCACTCTTATAATTTAAATTTTTTTTGCAATCTCACTCCTCAAAAGACCGAAATTGTTCGAACTCGAAACAAAAACTGTTAATGTACGGCCTACACGAGTGCACTAATATTAACTTATTAAAGCAGTCGAGCCACATACCTGAAGACGCTTTAGAGCAGGGGAAACGACTCGGATCTTGCTAACAGAATCAGCCGAGTGATTGCCGGCGGCAGGACAAGGCGGCAGGCCCCTGTGCCAAGCCCTCACGTAGCTGGTGACAATCTCATCGCCTCTCACGTTTTTGTAGACGGAGTCGAGAAAAAACCAGTGAGGGGTCAGGCAGGAGTCGTTGGCCCTGGGGCGCGTGTTGAACATGTAAAAGGGGGGCTTCGGGTTTCCCTTAGCCCACGGGTGGAAAGTCTCGATGGGAAGCTGCAGGTAGCTCCGTGGGAAGAGAGTCTCGTAGATTTGGGCGGAGTAGCCCCAGGAGACGGAGAAGGACCAGTTGAGTTGGCGGTGGTAGCAGATGGTCTGCTGGAGGAGGCGCGACTGGTCGGCGTCGGCCGCGGTCATGAGATGGCGCGTGGACTGGAAACGGTTCATGTTGGGGAAGATGGGGTCCATGGCGTCAAAGTGGTGGAAGGTCATCAGGGGCACTTTTGGGTGGGCCGATAGGTAACCGGAAAAGTCGCCGTGCAAATCCACCTGTATTATGTACTGTATTTTAATTTTGTTTTTGCAATAATCGTTTCATAATCGTACACAATCCAATATTAAGACTTAAGAGACATTGACTATATGGAATTTTCAATGAGAGTAATTAATAATTGAATATTTATGAAAAATTGCTATTAAAATTTCATTGGATAAATTTTTGTTGAAATTTTATTATTTTCTTTTAGTGTAAGAAATCGTTTTTTTTTTTTTTTTTTTTTTTGGGTACAAATCTAAACACAGAACTGTCAAATGCTAATTAACAATACAAACATAAGAATTAGATTTAATATTATAAAATGTAATTACGTAATTTAAATTGTCCAACTGTCATAGTTAATTAGTCAACAAAATAATGTAATTACGTAATTTAAATTAAACTTATATCGTGAATTCGTAAGGAATGTCTAATGAGGCAAAAACGTGCAATGGCGGACACCTGGTTGACCAAGGAATAATATGTACTAAATAATTTCAATATTTTATTTTATATAAAAAAAATATGGGTACTTTATTTTAATAATCCTTAGGTCTACGGAAATGGCGTGCAAGATGTCCCAAACAAAAAACAAGAGGACTAATTAATTAAGAAAAGAGCTAAGGTAAGCCAATGAGAATAGTTTGACATGTCCAAATATGGCCAAAATTAATGTAATTTTGTTAAGGATGTTATCATAATATGTAGTGAATAACCGCATCTGCAAAAATATTAACATATTAGATAAAATATTATCACAATTTACCTGATGAATCCCCTTGTGTGGGGTGAGGTTGACCCCGATGTCCGCAATGCAGGTCATGGTGATCAAATCGGCCGACGAGCTATTCGCGTAGCGGACCAAACACCCGTCCATGTCCCTCGCCAGAGCCTCGGCCAGCGGGTAGCTCATCACAATCCCCCCGCCACCAAACGCCTGATCGAACGAGAACCAATGGTTCGAGATCACGGTCTCCGAGTGCCACCCGAGATAGTAGTATTTGGTGTGGTCGTACTCCGCCAGCACGTCCGCTATGTTGTCCACGAAGAAAATCGAGTCGTCGTCCCCCATGACGACCCACCTCACGTTGTCGTGCTCCTCCCGAAAGAGCTCCAGGATACCGTGGACCATGCGGGGCATCAGGGGTTTCTTGGGACGGGCCCGCCGGTAGTAGTCCGTCAGGTTGTCCACGACACGGTAGGGAGGGGCAGTCGGGGGCCACGGGAGGAGGTTGGGGGGAGGGGGCCGGTCCAGGTAGACGTAGCCGCGGGTGACATTGGGCCGCCACCAGGACTCGAGGTAGGCACGGCGGTGGGGCCATGTCGGAACCGAGCCCATCAGGCCGAAGGCGATGTGGGTGAGGTTCGTGCGGGTGGCGGCGGGGGAGGAGGGTGAGGGCGTGGCGGACCAGCCGAGGAGGGTGAGGGCCGAGTTCTGGGTGCCGATGAGAGGGACGAGGAGGAGGTAGAGGATTATGCCGAGGAGGATTAGGGTTTTCCAGATGGTGCCGGTTGATAATAAGGAGAAATCCTTGGGAATTATTGATGCCATTGTTTTCTTTTTTTTTTTTTTTTT